GCTGCCACCTCCACGACCTCTCAGACCTCCCACCTCCCCCCCCACAGAAAGGGAAGCTGCACAATGCTGATGCCAACGCCAACGCCACTCACCTTCTGTTCAAGCAGGAAGACGAGCGGTGAGCTTTACTGTGGGGCTCTGAAAATTAAGGGGGCAGACCTAAAATTTTAAGTGCATAGCTGCACAGGTACACAGCTTAGAGTGAACCCTGGTTAGAACTGAACTTTACACTGAAAGTCAATTTGATTCACTATATTTGAATTTGCAACTATTTTGTAATTTCAAAAGGTGGTTTTCATTCATTTATAGAAAACAGATGTGCTCAATAGATTGTGGAGCAAATGTCTACCAACAGAACACATGTTTAATATTTTAAAAGTCATTTTCATTTGGCTTTGAGTTGCCAACAGGTATAATTCTCTAAAGCAATTTAAGTGAGTATTGTATTATAAATTTTAAGATTGAGATCAGCTTGTTTTGTTCAGAATGAGACATTGTGTTGCGACGTTTCCAAAATGGTGACAGACACACAGTAGACACAGCTCTCGAATTACATTACCGTTTGACATATGCTGATATGACAACAGTGTAGTAACACACCCCCTTTAGTTCACGGACAGTTTCAAACAACCAAAATAAAGCAGTATGTACAAACTATGCCGGTTAAAACAAAATACCAGAAAACAAAATGAATTTCTGAAATATGTGCATTTTCTGATGGTACATTATTGTCACAATGTATTTTTCAAAGGTATTTCTTTATCCAGTTTGATTTCTTTTAGATAAGTGAGAGGGGAAGACGATAGGAGGAAAATAGGACAAAATGCAGAAGAGACCTTGACAATGACCTCAAAAGTAATTTATTTATTCAGTTTTGTAGAATGTTTATAAATGTTGATATTGTGTGTAAAATATAGAGGATATTTAATTACATTTCTCATACAAATTACATACCACTTAACAACAAAATGAAGTATTAGTTAGTTGAATGTTCCCAAAGATACTCCTCAAGCTCAAGAGTGCTCTTTTGTTTTTATAAGATTTTTTTTTAACAGAAACAAAAATTTCATGAAAGTGCTGGACTGTCAGCAATGGAAAAATGAACAACTCAATTTGTCTGCAGAACAGATATATATCTGGTAGTAGCAGGGTAAAATTCCACACATTGTCTTGCTGATGTGACCTCACCTATGGGGGCAATATTTAAGCATGAGAAGCTTCAGTCTCCCTGATCTACTTATGTCTTTTGTCTCAGTGACAAGACTGCCAAGATGATTCCAACTGTGGTGGAAATATTTTATGATGTGGACATCTGCCAATGAGAAGTAGGACTCATACCACCAAACTTATTTTACATAGGCAACTAAACATCCGTGACTATTGATGTGGACCAAATTATTGGTAGAGATTAATATATCTCAAGATCTGCTATCACAACTAAGTGCTACTGCTGCCAACAGAAAATTTGAGGATTAAATGAGTATGGAGATTGAACTGTCCTTTCATCTACAGACATGATCCCTCAAGGTCAGAGTTGTGACTTGTGTGTAGAATCATGTGGAGAAACTTGCATTAGAGAAGACTGTCTCATTTTGTGGAAAATATACTTCATTTTCTAGTGCTATCAATTGTGCACTAATCACAAGCACTGGGGAAGAAATCACTAACCTCTGACTTCTAGAGAGAAAAATTCATGTTAAAATCTGTCCAGATTGCCAGTGCCTTTGATGATAAAGGAAGAAAAGGAAATGTAATAGGCAGCACTTCTTTAAAACAAACAAAAGGAACCACTTTATATAATACACAGTCTACCTGATACTTATTGCCAGTGGATGTTGTGAAGCCAAAACTAAAACTGAGTTTAAAAAAAATTAGGTACATTCATGGAGAACAGGCTCATCAAAGCCAATTAGTAAAAAATGGTCAGTGATACAATCCCATGCACTATGGCTGTGTCTAGACTGGCAAGTTTTTCCGCCAAAGCAGCTGCTTTGGCGGAAAAACTTGCCAGCAGTCTACACTGGCTGCTTAAATTTCCGCAAGAACACTGACTTCCTGCTGTCTGAAATCAGTGCTTCTTGCGGAAATACTATGCTGCTCCCATTCGGGCAAAAGTCCCTTTTGCGCAAAGCTTTTGCGCAAAAGGGCCAGTGCAGACAGCTCAGATTTGTTTTGCGCAAAAAAGCCCCGATCACGAAAATGGCGATCAGGGCTTTTTTGCGCAAAAGCACGTCTAGATTGGCACGGACGCTTTTCCGCAAAAGCACTTTTTGCGGAAAAGCGTCCATGCCAAACTAGACGCTCTTTTCCGCAAATGCTTTTAACAGAAAAGTTTTCCGTTAAAAGCATTTGCGGAAAATCATGCCAGCTTAGACGTAGCCTAGGTGTTCTAAGGCTCTCACTGCCAGAGAGGATGATAGAGGATGGTTCACTAGATAATTGCCCTGTTTATTCACTTCCTCTGCAGCACCACACAATGGTGTTGCCAGAGAGTGATCGTTGGTCTGTCCCTCTATAGCCATTCTCATGTTCTTATTGCCTAGTCCTCAAACTCAATTTTAAGAGTTTGAAAGGTTGGCCCATACTACCAGATCACAACAGTATTATAACTTAAACAAATGAATGAAATAGTACATATTTTTAAAGTAGTGGTGTAGTACTGTGTATTCAGATTCAGTTTCTACTGAAGGCAGAAGCTGTTTCTGCCAGACAGATTTACTACTTGTTACCAGATGTTTTATGAATCTTTTCCATTAATAGGTTGAAAACAAGCTAAACAGAAGAAGAAATGTTCAAAATATAGTTTTCTGTTTTTGGAAGCCACAAGCTACTTTAGACGTGATGGAGTTCAAACCATTTCAGAATGTCAATATAAACAAGCTTGTGGTTACAACATTATTTTACAGGCTACCATCCTCAAATACTGTCTCTAAAAGTATGGAGGTGATAGCACAGAAGACGCTAACATTGTAACAATATAGCTAGCTTTTCTGTGTTGTCAGGAAGCAATGTCTAGTATAGGAAAATACATGTAAGCTTCACTTTGTGGATAGGGTTGCCAGATGGTTTCAACAAAAATACCAGACATACTTGACATTACATCACATTCTACACTACATCTTATTTAAAAAATACCGGACATTTATATTTTCTCATTTTGTTTCCTGAACAGAAAGCTCAAATACTGGACTGTTCGGTTCAAAAGTGGACACCTGGCAATCCTATTTGTGGATACCAGAAGATCAGGTAAGAATCAAAATACATCACTCATCTGCACACCTCTGCACAGATGTTTTCAAAGCTATTCTAGTTCAGCCACTATTTTCATCACATATCTACATTAAGATGTTGCAGACGTTTATTCATTTTATTGTATCAGGTTACCTTCCATAATCCTGAGATCAAAATACTAGGCTTGAAAATTCTCCTAAATTTACTGTACCAGGAACTGTGTTTAAACCCCCATCTTCCTAAAAAAGTAACTTTTTTGCTAGTATATATTCAAATTGGTATCATTAAAACAAACAAAAAATTCTATCAAACAATAAAAAACTACAAACATTTACAAGGCATTTGGGCCAGCCATTTGAGAAATGTGGGGGTTAATTCCAGGACAAGTATTTCATTCTTAGCAGCGGCTGAATCCTGGGGAAGCATCACACTCATAATTGTCAAGTCTGGGGGAAACAAACATATCAAAATCTCTTAAAAATAACTGCTGTTTGACTTGTAATTGGGGCCAACAGGCTGTAAACAGAACCCTTTCCAGAGCTGTCCAAATACTTCTGAAAATAATGGTGCTCAGAGTAAAACAGAAAAAAGTAGAGGGGGGAGAGAAATTTTGGATATAGGATAACATATGCTGCAAAAGTTCTCTCAGTGATCTCGGCATATTATAAATTTGCAGTAAAAAACTCAAAATAGCTGGAGTATATGAAAAAGGGCCCTATTTAAGACCTCAAAAAATCCAGTATGTTTTAAATCCACATTAACAACTAATTTTAAAAAGATCTTTATTCAAATGCAGTGTTTTTTGAGTTGTTGAAAAATAAATGTGCTTGATCATAGCCACTATACATAAAATTCATGAATGGTTGAATTCATTTTAATGAATAAACATAGTAAAATTCATTCTTGAAAGGAGTTCTCATATGCCAACATTCAAGTTACAATCGATTTTTTATGGCAAAAGTATAACCCCCTATTTATGGGTTAATAGTGTAAAAACTGACAACTTTATATACATGATTGCTAGCAGCAAGCACAAAATATTTTTCCAAGCAACATGGAGACAAGATGCTTTTTAAAAAAATCACATCAAACTGCACAAAAATGTGTAGAAGATGTATATTAAAATGGTAAATGCAAAATATTGCACTGAAACCTTTTAAATAATAATTAAATAATAAAACAGAGAAACAATGACAAAGCAAAAAACATTGTTTGAAAGATTTCTGGCCCGTCACTTCATTATCAAGTTGATGGGAACTGTTTTAAAATCACTGCCCTTTTAATCAGGATGTAGGAAAATGCATTACCTACATGTTAACAACATCAAAATAATCTCTTGGCAGATGCTGAACCCTGCACAGTAGCTATTTATTTCTGAAAAATGTGATGTAGAAACACATTTATTCAGATTGGAATAAAATTGGAAATTCAATTAACTAAATTAATAACAACAACAACAACCATAATAAAATGTTGGTTTAATTTTCTTCCTCCACAATCTGCGCTAAAATTGTTGATCTACATTTCTTAAAAATGCCACTTTCCCTTGATTTGTGATGGTCCTGAAGAGCAATGCTTTACTGCTTCTGTTTCAATAACAGGTCTACAGCAATCTCTAGAGCCAATTTTTCAAATAATTATTTGCATTACAGAAAAAAAATCTGTCTGCTGCATTGTGTGTATGATTGTTTCTAAGCAACACAGCTGTTTCAGATCAAACATGAAATAGTCATCTCAGTAAAGGTTCAGTGCTTTTTCTCTGTACTTACTTATTCTGCATCATGTTCATTATAACCCAGTCGAAGGGATAGACATTCTTCCCAATGAGATTCTTGAACATGATGAATGTTTCCATCAGAAAGTCCTAAAATAAGAGGGAAAACATTTGAAAAGGCCACTCTTTCTGATAAAAAATGATACCATGTGGATGATGAAAACTCACTTGATTAATGACTAAATTCAAAAAGCTATCTCTTGTTTTATTGAATGAAAAAAAGTACAAACTACTGTTAAGGTAAACAGTACATTAATTCTGTGATATTGATATTATTTATTCCTTTCACAAAATCTACATAAGAAGTATTTATTTTTATTTTTTAAACTGAATAGTTAAGCAGTGTAATCAATCAATTCATTATATTATTCTGTGAAAGAGTACAGAAGATAAAATTCATCAAATTTAATTTTTTGCCAAAGGGGATCGAGCTCTCATTAATAAATATGTGGTTACGGATAAGCATGAAATCTTACAAAATGGACTTCATAGTACATACAATATAACACACCAATCAAAGAAGAATATAGGTATAGAATTGAGATCTGCCAAACATGTTTTGAAGATAAATGTTAAAACAAATTATTTGTATATGTAAAAAGGGAGAGGAAGAAAGCTTTAAAAATATTTCGTAAGTTAAAGTAATAATGCTTATTAACATTAGTCCTGGGGGAATTCTACAACTGTTAATGTGAAGCCATAGTAAAATTGCAGAAATCCCCTAAGACTGTAACATGTAATACTTTACAGAGCAGCAAAACTGCAGAAAGAGCCAGAAAGGGCTTATGCAACAGTTCCTCATCCCATAGAAGGTGCCATCTAGTCCAACTGAACTATTTATAGACTTTGTAGAATTGTCTGTTATTCTAGACTAAGGCTATTTCCTTTGCTGGAGTTTATATGGAATCTTGCCCAATGCCATCTCTTCAAAATTTCACATTTCTCCAACATAGAAAAAAATGATAGCCCTCTGTCTTTTCAGGCAAGACGGGGGTCTCCCATTCATCTGTCCATCCAACGTCTTAATGGACCTCCATCCTTATCTGAGTTGATCTTTCTTGCTCATTGTCCTGCTCATGAGTCCTGGTCCTGCATATATTATGGGAACGTTATTGCTATCCCTAGAACTCTAGAATAGGTACATGTTCCCAGGATATACAGCTCTCCCTTGTTAATATTAAAGAATACTGCCACTGACCAGCCAGGGAATTTCTCACCTCCAAGAGCTCAAGGAGCTCCTAGGGGTTCAGCTCATCAGAAAGGATGATTGCTTTCTTTCGAATGTCTAGTAGAGGTTTCAGAAACAACCAGAGAAGGACATATTTCACTTTTTTTTTAAATCTGATGAATCATAATTTGGTGCAGTGGCTATACAGACAAAGAGGCTCACAAAACATCAAATGGCACAGAATATATGTTTTACAGAAACATCAATAGGTGAGTAAAACAGATAATAGTAAAATCACTCTCCATAGCACATCAGTAATAGAAGCCTTTCTGACATTAAAAGAATTGACTTCCCAGACATTCAGACTTAGCAACTGCTTATAGTTAATATGAGATGCTACTGTTGCATAAAGCAAAATTAATTCTGGACAAAAACTTTACTAGTTCAGTAAATGTGTCCTCAGTTTAGTGATCAAACTGAATATTCACTGCTTGTTTTTCATATATAAGTTACACATTTTTAATGATCATACTGCATATTTTGCTGACTGGAATCATGCAGTATTTCTCTCATTAAACTGCATGTTTTTACTACATGAAATGGTTGATTTCCTTGTTGATCCTGTTTCATAGCTTAGTAACTGAGACTTCAGTGGGAGTTGTACTCATGTGAATGAGGGCAAATTTGAGCTCACTGAGTTTATCTTTTTGAATATTTTATGAGTGAAATACATACTTTCCTGGTTTCTAATAGCAGATTACATTTTGTATTTTATTAGTTCTGCTGGATGCTTCAGCTGTGGAGTTTTTGCACACTTTGCTGATCAAACTGCATGTGGCGGCAGATAAATTTTCAGGCATTTTGCTGATCAACTTGCACACTTTACTGACCATGAAGATGGTGTGATATCTGATTGTGCTAATTTGCCACACATTTAATCTATTGACATTTACATTTAATAATCCAGTTTTCACAGAAATACTTTAATTATCAACACACGTAGTTTATGGAATAGAATTTATGCCCTCTGAAGTTTACTTATTCATTATGAATTTATATCACTACTTTCTGGACAGTTTAGATTTTATACTTCTGATACAAAAAGTGTCAGGGGGTAACCGTGTTAATCTGTAACTTTAAAAATAACAAGCAGTCTTGTGGCACCTTATAGACTAACAAATATATAGTAGCGTGAGCTTTTGTGGGTAAAACCCACTTGATCAGATACAAAAAGTAGTTGATTTTGAATCTTAATGGTATGCATTATGAGCTCAAATCTGGATTTTATTTTTAATCACCAGCTCATGCTATTTTTCCTCAGAGACTTTTAAGGTAAGAAACTTTCAGTGATATTTTGAACCAGTACAAACTACTCCAATTATAAAAAAAGGCTAGAGAATCAAATTGTAGGAGCAAACCATGCATCTCTTCCTTTCATTCTAGCACAGCCTCTGGCCTCTGCCCTCCTGCGAAGCCTACTGGATATGCCACTGGGGACAAGAAAAGGCTGAAGTCCTCCTGGTTGCTGACCCAGTAAGCTTTTCACTGACTGGGGCGGGGAGGGGGGGAGAAAGGGGGAAGAAATCAGCTGA